ACATTTACATTCCAAGTCCTCTATGATTTTATCAATTAAAATTTTCCAGAGCGATTTTCCTTACATTTCTTTACCACAACAAAACACTTGTTCTTTGGTTGCCAAAAAATCTTAAATTTCTCTGGGCATCCTAAGGAGAATTTGTGCCTTAAGTTTCCTGTATATCTTAAATTATCTTGGGGTCTTATTCAGTTGGTTCTTTTTAAAAATTTTGTTGTTTTTTTCTTTTAGGTATTTAATCCAATGTCTTGTGATCTTTGCTGGCCTGCTTATATTTTGAAATGGAAAGGCTGATTGGAAGCTTTATGCTCTCAGCAGAGCTTGTCAACTACCGGGAAGTTTTTCTGGGGAGAGCAGACAGGAAGGAGGCTGTTATTCCAGGATCCCTACCCACTTATAGTCTAAATGTCAAGATGTGGAGAGCTTTATTCTCAGGCAAGAAATGCTACACTAGCCAATGAGTTCTCTCTTTTTTGTGTCTTATTTTTTCAGTTTCTTTAGAGAAGCCCACCCACTCACCCCATTCCTTTTTTTTTCTTAGGGTGGAGGTGGCAGTTGGTAAATGCCTGGTTGCCTGTCACTTGGGAGACAGAGATGGGGGTGTGGGGAAGGAGGCACAAACTATTATATAACAACTTTCAATTAACCCCTTGATTTTCAATACTACCAATTTCCATCCTTTATTCCCCCATTTTATCTTCTCCTTTATTATTGATTTAATCTATTTGGTCTCTTCCTCTGTATTCTGGAACAGCTTTTAAGTGTGTCAAATGATTAGATTTTTGTGGGGTAATAGATTTGATTTCTTTTTTTAATTCAAACTTTAATTCTATTAATGAATTTTGAGACTTATTATAATCTTTCCTTGGACGTCATCCATCTCCCTTAATTTGCTTGCCCTATCTACCATATCTCATTTCTTTTTACAAACTCCATTCTTAAAAAATACACAAGAGGTATTTTTCTCAATTTTTATTTTCTGGAGAAATCTTTTAAAAAAACATGCTGATCTTTTCCTGCATCTAATATGCTATGGTCTCTTTCTTATATCTGTTGAATTTTTTCATAAATCTTATTCTACTTTTCAATACAAAGATCTCATATATTGAAAGGTGAATAAATGCTCGCTATATGATTACCCTCATTATTCAGAAGTTTGCTATTAGAATCCTCTCCTTGGGGAGCTAGTTGATGTAAATTTATATTACCAGGTCACAGTTCCAGCAGCTGGAGAATAAGAAGAAAGAGGCTGGAGGCAGGGAAAGGCCTAGCAGAGGAACTTCCCTATACTGCTTCCCAGGAAGAGTTCTCTATATCCATAACTGCATTTGGCCCAGCCTAAATACCAAGTGAATGCTATGTGGAACTGGGCTTCCTTTCTCATGCTGACATCAGGGATCAGTAGGCAAAACTGCTCCATACCTTAAAGGACTGGGAAGGACAGGGTAAGGAGAACTGTGAGTAGGGGGTTATAGTGGGGAATGAGATGGAGATACAGGAAAGTATTTGAGAGCATGAAAAGTCAGCAGCTACAGAGAAGAGCAGGATCTGAGAAAGGGATCTTGAGATACTTTTCTACCCCTGCCCTTCCTGTGACCCACCTCACCTGTCCCTTTTGTCCCCCCTCCCCTGCTCTTACTGTATGATATATGCTGTTTCCTCCTCACTATACATCCCACCCCCTAAGAGCACTACCCTACAGTAAAGATCTACACTGCCCTGTAAAGGTTTTTTGGGAGGGGATTTTACTCCTTTGGGTTGTGACTTCATGGTGTGATGCACCTTAAGGCAGGAGCCAGAGGGCTGCCTCATTTGGGTTGCATAAATCATGCAGCTTCCTAGTGCACTGCTTTCCAATGCTAATCTAGCAGCAGCCAGGTTTTGAAGCCAGACTCTCTGGACTGGACCTCAGCCCTGCTGCTCTGTGACTTTGTGAAGTTCATTTAACCTCTCTGTAAAATACAGATGGTAACAGTACCTACTTTAGAGGGTTACTGTAAGAATTAAAGTCAATTCATATAAAGTGGTTAGGATAGTGCCTGATGTATAGGAGGCACTCTATAAATGCCCAGTTTATATAATTAATTAACAATAAATATTATCATTATTGCTAAAAATAGAAACGTTCTCTATCTCCTATGGCATTCTCTCCATTCCAGCCCCTACTCTTCTAAATTAGAGAGCATTACTTCCTATCAGGGCAGGTCCAATACCGCCTGGTGATGCTCTGTGAGCTGTAGTCCGTGTAGGAATACTGTGGTTTTTAGAGCAGGAAAAGTGAGTTTCAAGTGGTATGCTTCTCTTCAGCACTTCCCTATAGCCCACGCTCATCCACATTACAGAGTCTGCCAGGCAAACCTCCATTTATTTCCTAGGGACCTGCTACTTCTCAGAAGGAGGGTTAAGAATTAGCACTGGGCCTTGCTTCAAAGGCTCCACTTACTCTGTCCCTAATAGTACGCCTCCCTCTCCTGGTTTCCTGTGTTGTGAGCAGGTCATCTTAGTGGGGGGATCCTTGGGAGGCAAGCAGATCCTGCGGTGATGCTACTAACTTACCAGGCCATCCTCCCTAATGTGCACTCTGGATGATCTCCTCTCCCAGACTCACTCACTAACCCACTTACCAAATATTCATTGGTCATCTCCAAGATATAAAGAACACTAAAATAAAAGGTACTGTTCTTACCAGAATAGCTAACCCTTTTATTTCTCTAGTACACGGTACTTAAACAAAATTCTCCACGGTCCCTTTCCTTGCTCTTGAATAGTTCTCAAATTATATGAATATCTGAGAAAAAAAGAACACAAAGACTCTGCTTTTGTTCTCAAGAAGCTTCCAGTCCAGAGTTCAGGGGCAGGTGGTTGGGTTGGTGAAAGGAGGTATATGACAAATGTATCACAACACAAGATAAGTACTGTAAGAGAAGTCAGCTTAGAAATCTACGGGAGTAGACTGAAGAACCGTGAACTCAGAATGGAGAATGGTGAGGAAGGAGGACAGAGAACTCCAAAAAGAAAGAACACAGGAGCTCAGTTTGGGGACTAGCCTTAAACAGAAATTATTTTCCATATCAAGTATTTTAATGATGCACACCCACATTGTGGGCCCTTCATAAAAACCAGGCATACTACTTTTTATACATACCTCATATTTCATGGTAAAAAATCCATCCCCTCCAATGCCCTCAAGTGCAAAGGCCTGTACAATTGGCCATTTCTCTACTACAAACATATCGAATATCTGCAAGTGACCTAGAGGAATCAAATACAACAACATGTATCAAATACCATCCTGGATATAACAGTCTAAACCTGATCTAATGTGGTTAGACAGGCATCATTTCTCACAAGTTCACCACAGCCTCATCTAACAAAATAAAATTGAGACAGATCGAATGGTTAGGTATTAACACTAGAAATACAAAATTAAAGCCAAGGAAAATTCAAACCATAAACAAGTTACATAAATTTAGATTTCTCTATAGTATATTTTCACATTCTGGTTTCCTAAGCAAGCAAGCAAGCAAATAAATAAATAGTGGCCTATTACATCTGACTTGCATCAGTTAGTGGATATAATTATTAACAGACCCAAACTTGGCTTCTCTCCCTTAAGAAACATATCCAAACAACTTCCTCAAGGAAAAATTACCAAATCAAAAATTTTCCTTTCTTATAACAGTATCTTCAATGTGCAAGCTTTTTTGTAAAATAAGATATAAGCACTGTTAAACTTATTGATTTTTTCCTATATTTTTAGCCATCATTTTTGAGCCTCACTGTCAGCATATTTTAACAGCTACCTGATTACTACTTCTTATTACCAAGAGGCCCCACATCTAGTATGTACACTAAGGGGTACACACTAGATGGCAACTGTGTAAATGCCCTACCAGTTTTTCTATCTGCCTGCTTCGTTGCTGCAGAAACTTCGGTTATGAATACAAGCTTACATAGTTCCCAAATTCCTTTCTGCCTCAGCCTCTGACTTCAGTGACAATAGATCAATGGGTTTCCCAGCCTCCAATGAAAGGAGAAGTAGGGACATGTGATTCACATACCATCCAAGCAAGGTTAAAATGTCTCACTGCCAGACACTCACCTTGGGAGCTATAAGGAATGCCAATTCTACTGCAGTCTCGAACCATGTCCACAAAGCTGGCAATTTTAAATTCTTCTGCAGCTTCCTCATCTTCATACTAAAGAGGGAAATTGAAAGGAAAACAGGCTCTGTTAAGACATCATGCAAAGTCCCATAGTTTCTCTTCATTTTATCAGAGTTGCCCTCAAAGAACACTTATAGAAGACTGTACCCAAGAGGGTGTTTCCAAAGCCACATTTTGTTTGGTTGAAAACACTGTCATTCCCTTACCTCACACCAATGCCCTCAAGTGCAAGTCAACTCAAAATGGACCAGAAATCTAAATGGAAGATATAAAACTTGTCCTCAAAAATTCCCCAAATACTTACATGGAAAGGATTCTTGATATATATCAGGACACAATTTCCATGAAATCCTAAATCTCAAATCCCAATCTGATTCCTAGCCTAACCCCTGAAATGAGCCCAAAGGGAAACAGAAACATACCAAGAAATCTAAACACATAAATATCAGAAAGCTTATCTAATTCTCCTGGAGCAGTATGTAGGCACTAGCCCCCTGAGAGAATGTGTGCAGGCTGGTAATGAAGCAGGGTCAGAAGGCAGCTTCATAAGCCTATACTAAGCCCTGATTTGAAGAGTTCCTTCTGTCTCCTTCAGGCGCACAATTTATCCATAAGGTAGCTGCATAATGAAATATAAGAAGTTCCACATTCTGCAATTTGATTTTTTTAGGGGACTCCTGTTCCAGATCTACACTTCCTTGAAAGAATATTCTTAAGAGTGTCTCTAAGTGCCTATTCTATCTTTTCTCCTTACCTCATTTTCAGTCATGCAGTGCAGATGCAGATTTCTCCAATGTGCCACACAGGGTAAGAAATAGCGATAGTTTACAGGATTACAGTACAGATGGACACTGTCTGATTTAATTAATATAATTACATCTGTAAGAGAAACAAAATTAGTAAGACACAAGATTGTTAAAGGCATTTTCTTTAGACAATTTCTGCTCACACAGTTAGTAAAACCATTAAAACGATTTAGCAGAGACAACATAACAAAACTCTAAATTGAAAATTTTTTAATCTGGCAGTGCACTACAAAATAATTGAAAAACAGCCAAGTGTGGACAGCAAGGAATTCCTCGTCCCCATGTGACGTTCCCACAACTGTGGCTCTCTAGAGATGGCAATGCAGGTACAGGATAAGTAAAAAGAACATCCTTCAGGGTGTTTTGCAAAAGTGCTGCATAGTCAAATCTCTGGTACCAAACTCGGCTGTGTACTTCACTGCAGAGATAAATTCCAAATGGACACTCCACAGCCTAAAGCAAGTAAGGCAGGAAAACAGTAGTGAATATGTCCAGTGGCTAGTTCTCCTACAGACGTCAGTGTCTAAAGCTCTTGGCTGCTGGCTCACTGGGCTCAAGGGACATTGTCTGTTAGCTTTGGGAAGGGTTATTGTGTACAGGGGTGAACTCTATACACAGGAAAGGCTGGAAGGAAGGAAGTAGAGGCAGGTGGACAGGGCTTCTAGAAATAGATCAGCAGCTCACAGATTTAAGGCCTAATCACCCAGGGGTGGGTCAAATAAATAAAGCAACCCAGGAATGCAAATAAACTCAGAAAACTAAAAGAAGGGCCATGGAATGGGGCAGGACTATTAAAGCAGTTTGAATACCGAGAAAGAAAGCAGTCGTAACTTCCAGAAGAAAAGCAGAGGCTCCATCCCATGGCTCCTCAGAGAGCAGACCATTAACAAGATGACATAGGGAAGATGCTGGAGGAGGTGGCTGAGGCAGAAGGTTTAGGGCAGGGGTGGGCAAACTTTTTGACTCGAGGGCCACAATGGGTTCTTAAACTGGACCGGAGGGCCGGAACAAAAGCATGGATGGAGTGTTTGTGTGAACTAATATAAATTCAAAGTAAACATCATTACATAAAAGGGTACGGTCTTTTTTTTTTTTTAGTTTTATTCATTTCAAACGGGCTGGATCCGGCCCTCGGGCTGTAGTTTGCCCACGGCTGGTTTAGGGTGGTGCCAACACAGTAATACAGTGTGACAGACCATAATCCACAAAAACATGAGCCCAATGAATACTGACCTTAGCTAACCATACTGATGGGTGGCTCTTGAAATAAAGTTCCATGCTGGTGGCCTTTTAAAGCACCCTGAGCTGCACACCTGGTCAGACCCAAGATGTTCTAGGGAACACAGTATGGAGCAGCTTCTTCACTGTTGACTGCTGGGTAAGGCCTGGAGTCCAAAAGTGGCAAGGGGTGGGAAAGGGGCCCCCTCTCATCTGCTGGCTTTCCTTACATAGGCCCTCTAAAAGCGCCCTGCCCTAAATCACATGTACCTCGTCTGCTGAGGAGGGAAGAGTCTGATGTCACTTAGAGAGCCCAAGGCTTTCTGTGTAGAATATACTCTGATACAGCAAAGACTTAAAAAGAAATATTACAATAGCTACTAAACCTAATTAAACACTCTCAGGATTTCTTAAGGCTGATGTCATCACTGTGAACAACATTTAATAGAGTACATAGATAAGAGAATTGGATAAGATGTAAACTATTTTAAAAGTTTCTTTTTAAAAGTAAGTCCTTCGTGTTGGCCTCTTTTCCTCTCACATAATAAATTAGAGACTGAAATGTAGAAGCATAAATCTGGTGATCTCAGCTTTCCAACTACTTGAATTTAAAAGATAAATTTATTATTTTGAAGAAAACGGTCATTTCATAAGCACCCACTGTACCAGGTGACAGGACAGACAAAGGAAAAAATAGTGCACACTTTTGAGGATTTAAACCATTTCCTTAATTTCAGTACTACAATGTCCTTAGCAATATTGGTTGCAGTGAAATGTGTGGCCGGTATGAGCATCTGTCTTTTTATAACTCTTTAAATGAGCTGCCAGGATGAAGTCTTTCCAAACCAATAGATGCTGTACAGTGTAAGGAAACTTTTTTTAAAAAATAAAAATCTGAAACTGTATTTGAATTAAAAAAAAGTTTAATGGCAGAAATAATTTCAGCTTCTTTCTGCACTTCCAAAAAAGAACGAAACCTTAAATCATTCCACAGGGATAGATACTATTAAAGAATTAGATACTGCTATTCTGTAGATAGATACTACAGAAGAATTTTCACATATAGACCAGGGTTTCCCAACCTCAGCACTACTGACAGTTTGGACCAGATCATTCTTTGTTGTGGGGGGGCTGCCCTATGCCTTGTAGGCTGTTTAGTAGCATCACTGGCCTCTACCCACTCTGCCTAGTTGTGACAATAAAAAATGTCTTCAAATGTTGGCAAATGTCTCCGGGAAGATAAAACTAACCCCAGTTGGGAACCACTGTACCAGATCCTCACAGTAATATTATATCAACATCAGATGTTTGCTTTCATGCGTCCCCCAGCTGCTTCACAAGAGCTTTCTGTCTCTTGTCCAATTTGATTTGTCTATTCCTGTGTCTCCTGACCCGTCTGGCAGACAAGTCATGATGCTAAGTATGTGATATCAGAGATAGCTCCTGGGCATCAGCCCACAGCAGCATCAACACAGGGTGAGTGTCTCAGAGCTGAGGAAAAGGGAATGTAAGCAGAAAGCCTTCATTGTAGTCACGGGCATCGTCATGAATTAAAGTCACACAGGAAACAATTCCCAAAGACAGAGCAGGACAAAGAGCCCTTGTTCCTAAGCTGAAGATCCACATGAAGTCTTCCTTGTAGGAGTATCCTGCAGGCTCATCTTTGACTCACAGCTGAAAGTGCTTGCACAGGACAATGCACATAATCTGAACCTCCCACATGTAGAGGCAGTAGGCAATTCAGAGGAGAATTAGTATCTTGTCAAGAAGATATAAAGCCAAACACTGATGCTTACTTTTTTCTCTACAGCAGAATTACCCAGTGAACATATTCTTGACAACTACTTGTTGCTAGTCTCTAATCATCCAGCAGGTGACCTACAAGAGCATATTCCTTAATATATCAGCAAAGAAGCAATGTTTTTTATTCATAAAAAAGTAAAAATTTATTGGGGCTTCAAGCTATTTTAAATTTGATCATATGTTTCCATAAAAAGACCATGAAAAAGGATCTGAAGAAAAATAATCGCTATTACTTTCCACACAGAGTTTACCCATATGTACTTACCATCTAGAACTTCTTCAGAAAACTCTGTTTTCTCAAAATCACTGGTATTCTGATTGTACAAACCAAACAGAAGATAATTTGCCAGCTCTCTGCAGCCTTCATTGTACCTGCTATCAATTCCTGCAAGGCAAAGAAGACTCTGATCAGCTGTACTATGGGGAGCAAATGAGCCCAAATAGTTTGTCCCTGCTCAGCAAAACTCTAATGAGTAAGTAAAAGGCAATAACCTAGACCAGTCTGTACCAGAAACCAAACTAAGCACCCCTCTGTGAAAGAAGCAGGCCTCAGCATCAAGTACCCCTACTTGGATTCAAGAGACAGTCAAACAGCACAGATTATTGAAGCTGTTAATTGCCAAAAAGCAATTCTTAAGGATAGAAGAAATCAGAAAATATAACTTAAGTCCTATCATGGCTGGTTAAAGATTTTGAAATATTTTCAGTTGGAATAGGAATAAGTGTCAGGAAAATATCACTTCTCAAAAAGACCTTTACCAAAACATGTGGGATCAACTAAAGGAGAATTAAAGTGATTTGAAACAAACCCAAAGAAGTGAAGAGGACAAGTGACTGGAACCACACATACCTAAAATGTCACAAATATTTATTAGGCCTAAGGCACTGTGCTGGATACTAGTGTGTGTGCTGGGCCTACAAACGGCCCTCATGAAGTTTATAGTCCATTGGGTTGGGTCAGAAATAAAAAGGAAATGAAATAACAACTGCCTTCACTACTGCCTTTCAATGCCATAGACACATATACTACCTGGTTCCTGGGTATCTGTGAAGGCCCAGAGCTCAGGGATATGTTAACGGCAGGTGTCAGCTGTCTGTGTGAGACTGAGAAGAAGGAGTTGAGGCAAAAGGAGCTCCAAGAATGAAAATATGGCTGGAGCCTGGGAAAAAGAACTGCCAATGGTCATTCAGACCAGTGAAAAGTAATGGTCATTCAGAGCAGACAGGCCTTGGGACTGCCTATGTCAGAGGACTTCTAATATGGGAGGACTCCTTTCTCAGCTGCGAAAAAAGCAGCACAGTGCTGTTCTTTCCCATCCAACAGTTCAGTGAAGGGAAGGGTGAAAAAGAATCAAAAGCAGGAATAGCCTGGCTTACAAAACGCCAAAAGTTGAAAGGGCTACGAAGTTAAAAATAACCAGTGGATTGGACAGGCCTAGCATGTCCCCTTCTAAAGGTTCCAGTTACATAAATTGCCACATAAATTGCTAACATTAAAAGACTGACCATGTAAAATTAAAGATAAAAGAAACTATATGTAAGTATTGTGCTCTCATTGATAAAGTTGTTTCCTATAGGGGATTATGGGTTAACAAATCAGATACTACTACACAGGTATACTGGAATTAAATGGATGGTAAATGGTAGGTGCTATGTTTCTCAGTGGTGGAATGGAAGTTTATAGATAAGATAGAAGAGGAGGCCCTAGCCGGTTTGGCTCTGTGGATAGAGCATCAGCCTGCAGACACAAGGTTCAATTCTGGTCAAGGGCACATTGGCAAGAGGCAGCCGATCAATGATTCTCTCTCATCATTGATGTTTCTTTCTCTCTCTCCCCTTCTCCTTTCCTCTCTGAAATAAATAAAAAAAATAAAAATAAATAATAAATAAGAGGAGATTAGACTGGGCCATATGGTAATGGGTTAGAGCTAAAGACATTAATATAAATTCATATTTAACTTAATTTAAATACAGATGGTTACATAACATTTACAGATGTACATATACACACCAGTTAATGTACACACATATATTTCCTTACTCTGTCAGCTGAGAGGGCCTAGAAGCAATGATATCCCAGCAACAGTGAGTACACTCAGATTGTTTTTATACCATTCTCCAGTAATACCATTCTTAGAGAAACGGCTGATTTTAGGACTGGAACAGGAACTATGCACAATAAGCTTGTAGCATCAAAGAGTGCCAGAAACTACAAAAATACTAAACAAACAAACAAACAACTTTGGAGGGAGTGTATCAAAGGGAAGGACATAGACACAGGAGCCAATTGAAAGAGCTCCAAATGGCCAAAGCTGGAACAACTTGAAGTAGGAAGTAGGATTATAACTCAAACTATAAAGTAAATATCCACGAGTCCATATGGATACAAATGATTGTGTAAATAAATAAATGTGGGAGGAGAGACAAATCTCCCATGCAGAAGAATTTCAATAATTTATGTAAATACTCCCATCTCCGGTGATGGAGCATAACTCCTGGCTCCTTAAGAGTGGGCTACATAGTGACTTCCTTTCGAAGAGGACATAGGGGAGGAGAGCTGGAGAGAGTATTTCATAGTGCAGAACCTGAAAACACTACCGTAGCCAGGTGATCAAGGCTAATAGAAACAGTGAAAAGTCATGCTCATAGTATGTATCCTTGATATCATGTGACGGAAATGGCATGTTACTTTACTGGTCTTCCACCTCAAAACTCTTAACCCCATTCTAATCGTGAGAAAGATAAGAAAAACCCTATTAGAGAGACATGCTACTTGATTAGCACTCCTGAAAACTGTCAAGGTCATCAACAAGGAAAGTCTGAGAAACTGTTACAGTCAATAGGAGCTTGAGAAGACATGGTAACTAATTTAACATGGTATCTTGGATGGGATCTTGGAATAGAAAAAGATTCTCTCTCATCATTGATGTTTCTGTCTCTCTGTCTCTCCTTTTCCCTTCCTCTCTCTGAAATAAATAAAAACATATTTTTTTTAAAAAAAGAATATACAAGTTTCAAGGGATTGAGTAAAAAAGAAAAAAAAAAGAAGAGAAAGAACTCATTGATATGGTGTAGTGATTGGAGGGGTGGGAGTGGGTGAAGGTGGAGGACGGTTTAGGGGGATAAATGGTGATGAGAAAAAAATAATAAAGGGGAAAAAAAATACAAGTTTCCTAAGTGATACTTTCACATAAAGTTCTGTCCTGAAGGTTTACTTTTTACCTCCATTTCACACCCAACTTCAAACACATCAATTTCTGCAACATTGTAGTATTCCATATTTAAGTAGTCAATCTGATATTTAAAAAACTCTAAAATTTTCAAGTGAAAATTTAAAAAATTAGGTTAACAACAATATGCATAAAATGTTCCCATTTGTGTTTTAAAAAAAGATACAGTTGACAATGTTATCTCTGGGGAGTGGGAGTGGGTATCTGGGATTGTTGGGAAGCTCTGTTCATTGTTACTCATGTATTGTCTTAATTTTTAAATGATATGATATATTTTCATAATAAAAATTTTTAAAGAACAAATAGATGCCTAATTTTGCCACTCTGTGGCCCTGAGCAAGTCTGTTTAATCTCCTAGAATCTCAGTTTCCTCTTCTGTTAAAAAAAAGTTTGCTGTAAGGAGAAATGAGGTAATATGTACAAAGTGCCTGCTCTTTGGTAGGTACTCTCCATCTTACCGATATCTCACCCAATCTCATTTAAACAGCAATGGATTTCAGGGGAACAAGAGCAAGGGACACTAACCCACGGCTGATCTCACAATGATACTATTATCAGTATCTTCCTGTGAACAGAAGCCAATTTGCCCCAGCCCTGAGTCCCACCTTGTTAAAAGCACTGACCTAGAATGCAGAGGATCCCATCGGGTCGAGACTTGCTGCTCTGGGTCAGGATGCTCTGAACCTGGCGGAGTCGGCTGCAGCTGCAACAGAACAGAAATCAACTCCCTCAGTACCAGCAAATGAAGGCATAAGGAAGAATGACTGCTAGGGATGGAAACTGGTCCTTGTCTGGTTTTGGTATCAAAATCACAAAACGAATAGGGAAATATTCCCTTCTCTTCTATTTTCCAGACGTAATTATGCAGAATTGGTCAGAGGACTAAGTCTGAACTGCTGATTACAAACTGGATGGTCAGTGGCTCTCTGGCTCAACGGAGGATGGAGCCAATGGCCTTCTCATGGTCAATGTTGAACAATACTGGGACTCAGCAGCTTAGCAGAAAGGCCCCCAATGACTTATTTCTGAGGATGATTGAAGAATTTCCACACTGATTTGCCCTAACTGTGGACCTCACCAATCTGTCAAAACCAAACACAAAAGATCAAACAGATAAAAACAAATAAAAAAACTGGTGTAAAGACCTAAACCAAGCTCTGATTCACCATCACAACTCTACCCTAGAGTGTCTCACCACTGGCTACTTGCTCCCATTTTAGTGCAGACCTATTATTCCTTTGGCCTTAGGAATATCCCTTTCTTCCTAAACAAAGCACAAGGAGAGGCACTCCCAGACATTAATACCACTGCTAAGGACCCATGCTCCCACACCAAGCCCTCCTCTTTACCAGCCGTGCTGGAGAGAGGTGCTCAATGTCCTGCTCAAGAATGATCCTTCTGCTGGGTCTCTCCGCTCCCCGCCCGCCCTGCCCCATCACCTCCAGGTTCAGGATCTACCTCCATTATTAATTCCCTAA